GCAGCTCTCTGGCCAGCACACGCGTCCCGCAGCGCCACCTGGTGGTACGAGGAGCCGCGGCCTGGAGCCCGGAGACTCCGCCCAGATCCCTTCCAGGACCAGGAGGGTGACTCGGATTCTGCAGAGGGGAAGGAGCGGAGAGCAGGAGGGACTGAGGGAGGGCAGGCGACTTTGGGAGGATGAGCTCGCATGGTGCACCTGCGGCACCTCCCCACCGCGAATGTCGTCATCACTGCAAACAGGCACTGATGAAAATGGAAATAAAAGAAGAAAAAGGGAGGACGGAGGCAGGCAACTGGCAGGGCCCTCCTGCCACTGGTCCCGCCTCGGAGGAGTTCTGTGTTCTGTATGCGCATCGCTTCCCTCCTGCTCGCAGCTGTCCACTTCTGCCTCCTCGCCCCTCCGCCTGCCCAGCCTCCTGCCATCTGAAGGCACTGTTCGGGTGGCTGTCAGACCTGGTGTGGGCACTGTGGGTAGGGGACATTTCACGGGGTCTCGCAGAGGGACCAAGCCAACTGCATCCTACACGTGGGGATGTGGGGACGGGCAAGGAAACCTGAGAGGGAGGCTTGCTGTGTGGTTCAGGCTGATTATAAGCTCCCTCCGGAGCCCATGTTGCCTCCAACACACAGTGACCCTCCTGCCTCTGCTTCCTGAGTGCTGGGATTACAGCTGAACAGCACCACACCTGGACAGGGAAACCTGCACACAGGCAGCTGGCCACAGCTGGCCACAGGTGCTTGGACAGGGCTTGCTGGGGGCCAGAACACCTCCTCCTCCTGCTGCTGTTGGCCCTGCCACAGCCTGTGGGTTTTGCTGTGTGCCTGCCACTGATGCCCTGCTGTGTCTCCAGCCCCTCCTGCAACCAGCATCACAAAACCAACATTTAAAAGTCAAGGGGCCAAGGGGCTGGGGAGATGGCTCAGTGGAATAAGCGCTTCCCTGGCAAGCGCAAGGATCTGAGTTCAATCCCCGGTTCCGCCAAAAAAATAAAAGTCAAGTTTTTCTCCTTTAGAGACAAGGGGCTTCCTCACTTCTAGATGAAGTATCTTCCTCCTCCTCCTCCTCCTCCTCCCCTCAGCGCAGGTGAAGGACACAGTGCAGCTTCCCACCAGCACTGGAGCCCCTACTTCCACCAGCAAAGGGCCTGCTCAGTACTTGCCCCGCCCACCACGGAGGACCCATGCACCCGAGATGGCCCTTTGAGCCAGTGGGCTCTGCCACCTGCTCGGGCCTGAATGACCTCCCTTCCTTTCTACCAAAGTGAGCGGTCTCCTTTGATGAAGGCAGTGGGGAGCAGCAAAGCTAAGCGAAGGACCTAATGGCCGCGACACTCCCCCCCTTGCAGTGTGTCCCCTGGCCACTATGTGGGGGGCTGCAGCTGGAGTCAGTGGGGCCTGGGACACCTTGCTGTTCTGGGGCCAGGCCCACCCTGGATAGGGGAAGTGGTGAGAGCCCCCTTTCAGAGGTGTTGCAAAGTAGAATCTTCTGATTCCTGGAAACACGCCCTCCAGAGAAGGCTGGGGAACTGGGAAGCGGCGTGGGCAGCGCTGGGAGAAGACAGGCATGGCTGGCTCAGGGGTGCTGCACAAGGAGCTGGCAGGAAAAGCCACGCCGGTGACCCAGAGGACTACGCTGGGCTGGCTCTGCAGCCCCTACCTGCGGTGCCAAGTCTACCCTCCTGCCCTGGATCCTTGAGGGGCACTGACCCCCGCGAGAGTCCCACCTCCATCAGCTCTGTCTCCATGAAGCAAGTCTTGAGCCAGGTGTCTCAGTGCTGCTTCGCGTGGCCACAGCAGTCACAGGATTTCTCAAGAGCAGCTGGAATATTTTCCAGGCCCTGAATGTGGACAGGAGAGAACAGATACTTGCTCAGGGGCACAGCCAACAGCAAGAAGAACTTCCAGTGTTGTGTAGAAGCCACACAGGTGGCTGGGCTGAAAGCGATTAATGGATTATTTCAAATTGGTTGGCAAAGGATTCCCAGTGTCCCATGCTGACTACCACTGTTCCGCTAGTTGATGAATCTGATGTCTGAAAGGTGAATTATTAGTTATCAATTTGACCTTATGGCCCAATTGCACAAAATCTGCATAGATAAACCAACTGGGCAATAAACACATTCCATGTAAGGAAAAACATGAGCCTCTCCCTTGTTGGCTAGAACCTCCCCATTCAATGGATCACCAAAAGTACACAGACTCCCCAGAGACGTTCAGGTGCCAAGGTGAGCAGCGGGCACTGCGTCTTCTCCAGCACAAGACGGGAAGTGAGCCAGGCCGAGCCGGGGCTGAGATCACCCCCAGCAGTCACTGAGCCTCCTCCAGGGCCTTGCAGCAGGCAAAACTGCACGGCGGCCCTGCGGGGACTTACTTGGCTATTACAGTGCTTGCCCAGGGCAGTAGAGGAGACAGGTATCAGAGGTGACACTTTCTAGGTTTAGGTGTGAGCGTTATGATCAGGTTGGTAGTCTGCGCCTACTTACACTTAGGATTCTTTAAACACTCGGAAGCTCACCATGCTCTTACTGATTTTCATCTTAAATATTTGTGACTGTATAGTGAGCCTGGGGAGTCACATGGAGAGAAAAAACATTCTCTCAAGCTTTCACAGAGAGCAAATTGGTCAAGCAATGGCCGTGACTCATCCTCATGTCAGACACTGACAAAAGGATGTACAAAAGGCGGTACAGGGTTTCAGGATAAATCCTGAGAGCACTTGGCTGACCTTATCAGATACAAAAGTTACATTTCTTGGTATATAGGTCTTGC